GGCTGTTGTCGGTATTGGCTAATTGCCTAACTCTGGTACTCCTTATTATGATCCGATACCCGTGCTTCAAACAGTTCAAACTTGACATTGAGGTGTTCGGTAAGATAAATACGTTGTTCACTGGTCCTTCGGGGCCCATCGGGCTCAGGGAACATAAACAAACATAGCGGGTACATCAACTCATGTCCCCCTCGTGACCAGTGAGTTTGTTTCGCCATTCCGTCGGACTGTCAGACAATTATTACACCGTCTCCGACAGTCTTAGTAAACTTAAGCTCAGTATTATTCGTTACACCGCTATGTGTATATCAGTATAGCAGTGTAACGAATAATACTGAGCCTAAGTTTACTTACACTGTGGTCGGTCTTCGACAGTTGCGCTGTGAGTAGTTCTTGTGAAGGATGCTGCCAGGGTGGGACATCTTCCTCTGCATCTCTCTCCACGTTAGTAACCACAATTACGATGCTGATTTCACGAAGACACAAACCGGATATGCGTTGAATGCCGCCAACCCGACAACAGATGACCTGCCTACACGACAGGAGTGTTAATGAATCATTAACTGACGCGACGAGTTCGCGGACATCGATTTAAATATTCTTCTAATGTCGGTAAAAGATTTGCAGATACAGTCTGTCATGGCATAAACGAATGGCTTTGTTTCTTTGTTGTTTTACGCCGCACTCAGCAGTATTACAGCTATATGGCGGCGGCCAGTACATAATCGAGTCTGGACCAGGCAATCCAGTGATCAACTACATGAACATCGATCTATACGTAATTGGGATACGATGGCACGTGTCAACCAAGCATAAACGAATAATAAACACAGGCGGAAAACATTTCATGTTGTTTATTGCCTAAATTGTACATAAGATATTGTACATCGTTATGACATTCTTATGTTGTCTTTAGGTCAATGAGGCTACGACAGTCTACCATTTCCTTTTAACATTTCCACAAATGACGTTAGCCCTAAGATCGCATTAGAAATAGTGAGCCTTGGGAGATGGGGGAGGTTGTGAGGTGGATGAAATCCCCCCAGAATAAATGGGGCCTCCAGGTTACAACAGGTTGCATGTCTGATGGTTGAATGTTCAGGCTCGGCGTTTTGGTTGATTACGTGTCATTTACCCCTACGGAGTGAGTGCATGTGTGCTCATAATATCAACCGGTTCGGTGGGGTAGCCCAGTGGTTAAAGCGTACGCTCTTCAAGCCGAAGACGCGGGTTCGATTCCCCACATGGGTACAATGTGTGAATCCCATTTCTGGTGTCCTCCGCCGTGATATTCCCGGAATATTGCTAAAAGGGCGTAAAACTAAACTCACTCACTCACTCATAATATCAACCAGGTCTGTCTGGTCCAGACTCGGTACTTTAGACCGCCGCCATATCGCTGTGTGCTCCGTTAACACATAAAACAACGAACATATTCAGTGTATAATAGTTTGAGTCTTAAACGAGGAAATGCAACCGTGCGGTTCGACGGGGTTATGTTCAGTATATAATGGATTGGGTCTTTAATTTTCGAGGAAATGCAACCGTCCAGTTTGACGGGATTATGTTTTTGCACCTGCCACAGCCGGGTTTAAAGGGCGATAGTCTACCTAACGGTGCTTGAATCATATTAGTTTCCCTTCCGCCAAGCATGTAAGTACTGTAATGTTAAAGCCATGATTAGCATGAAGCAAGTTCAGTTCTGTTCAGTTCTGTTCAGTTCTGCATCCTCTCAGTCTCAATGGGTTGTCTTATTCAGTATAAATGGAGCTATTCGTTTCTGTCAAAATTATGTGTTTTTCAGAGTCTAAGTTATTCGTTGGTCTACTGCTGCGATACAGCTAAATGTCTGCCTCTGTGTAAGCACATTTCATCCGATAGGGTAAGTGTGTCACGTGACACAGGGTGGGTGCGGAAGTAACGCTACTTGAAAACTGTCAGTTGTCGTCATTCAAGAACGACCAAACATGTAGTACATGTAGTTCCTGTTACTAGAGTTCATGGGATGACCGCACACTGGACATCCATCAGGAAATTGATGTTGTATTTACGTCAATAGTCAATTGAGTGAGTTTAGTTTAACGCCGCACTCAGCAATGTTCCAGCAATATGGCGGCGGTCTAAATAATCAACTCTGAACCAGACAATCCAGTGATCAACAGCATGAGCATCGATCTACGCAATTGGGACACGATGACATTTGTCAACCAAGTCAGCGAGCCTGACAACCCGATCCCGTTAGTCGCCTCTTACGACAAGCATGGGTTACTGTTCAAAGATCAATTCTAACCGGATCTTCACCGGTATAACCAAAGAATAATTGTACAGTCCTGAATTGACAACACGACAATCACAGTCATTTGTGAAACACTAAATGATCATATTGAATAAGAAGACCAAGTTGTAAACAAGGTCCATCCCTGTTGATCTGACTAAGAAACACATACATGTTCATCAGGACGAATACATTTGGCATAACATCACCGTTTTATGAATCTTTCAAGAAATAGGTAAAGGTATTTTCGACTCGACATAAAAAGACTGACTGACTGACTGAGTTTGGTTTTACGCCGCTTTTAGCAATATTCCAGCAACATCACGGCGGGGAACACCAGAAATGGGCTTCACACATTGTACCCATGTGGGGATTCGAACCCGGGTCTTCGGCGTGACGAGCCAACGCTTTAACCATTAGGCTACCCCACCGCCCCGACATAAAAAGAAAGTGAGGCGAGTGTGTTTTTCAATGATAACTTTTTAGATGTATGTGTAGTATTTAGCGAAAGTTAGATGCAAGTGTCTATTGAGAGCAGATTACGGGTTCCAGTGTGCATCTGGCTCCTTCCCCGCCCAAAATGATATCGTCCGCACGTGATTTCATCACACAATGTGTAATAAAGGTGAATTGTTATAAAACAGAGATCTCTTCACGGGTGAGCTATGAGACCTAATAGTATCCAGAAGGTGCAAAGAGCCAGTGTTATAACTTATTTTCAGATCTAATTATTGTAAATATTCACATGGTTAAACGGTGAGTTAGAGCCATATAACGTCCATGAGGTCACAAATTGAAACTGAACTACAGGCTGGCTTGAGGGAAGTGTCTCTGTTGGGTTGATTTTCATGTATTTATCTTTCTGGCAATCGGTTTACTGTGATAGAGTGTTTGTACCTCGTGAATGAATAATTTATCAAGCCCAGTCTCATTGTAATCAGATGCGGGATGACCTTAAAGCGCATCGAGGTCACGAGTCGGGTGAACGTTCTACTCAGATAATAAGCGTTCAGGCTTCTGAATTGTCATAACATTCAGACGAGATTATCATCCTTTGCTATCTCAAAAAGACTGCAAAAATACAGGACGTTATTTTCACGTTGTAGAATCATCCTGTCGTTACTGAGTTTCAAGTATCTACCCTTAGACTAACGCTTAGTCCCTGAATGTATATAATATTGATAGTAACAAATAAACCCATTTAAATTGTGAAGGAGCCCCAGTGAGTTGGGAGTTTCAGGGACCTGGGAAAATCTAGACTTGCTTCTTTCAGACTTGAAAATTGCAAGGAGGGCTAGGTAGAAAATAGTGGTTCGGGGACTGTGAGACAGACTATATTCACCCTATAAAGGGTATTCTGTCGAGACTCTATTTGTGTCCTTTTTTCATAAACAGGAGGGGGAGGGAAACAATGATACACTCTTAAGTCAAATTATCTTCCCCAACTTCCTCCTCAAGAGTGAGTGAGTGAGTTTACTTTAACGCCGCACTCAGCAATATTCCAGCTGGCTATATGGCGGCGGTCTATGAATAATCGAGTCTGGACCAGACAATCCCGTGATCAACAGCATGAGCATCGATCTGCGCAATTGGTAACCGATTACATGTGTCAACCAAGTCAGCGAGCCTGACCAACCGGTCCCGTTAGTCGCCTCTTACGACAAGCATAGTCGCCTTTTGTGGCAAGCATGGGTTGCTGAAGACCTATTCTACCCAGGATCTTCACGGGTCTGTTACTAAAGAGCATGACAATACACATATGCGATCAGTTGTGTATATACACATTCATGTAGACTTGCACAAGTCTCTAAGGTAATATAAGCAGAGACCATATATCTGTATATGGTCTCTGATATAAGTAATAGTTAAAATGGACATTTCTAAAACAATATATATGAATAACAGTCTTGTACCGTCCGCTTATCTAGACATGCCTCTCTAAAGGATAGAATCACTATACACCCATGGATTTAGCATTCAGTACAGCCTTGGAGCAAGGCTAATATTCGTACACAACATACACTTTCCATGTACTGGCACTTGACCCTCAACCGATGCTTGGAAATTCGTTACTTAACCAGGAAGACTCTGTAGGCACCTCCAATGGGCTCGCATTATGTAATATACGTTTTAAAAGGTTACTTGCAAGCTTAGCACCCTCAGCTAACACTACCTATTTGAAATAGTAGCAACGTAATTCATAGTATTTGGGGGTTGGGGGGATAAATTATATTTGTGTTTTCCCGAAATTCCAAATGTGTTTATGTGAATGTACTTGCTCCACCTACGCGGTGGAGACCTCGACCCATGCATCTACCCATCCCAACCACACCTCTCATTTGGGCCCACGCTCTAACCCACCCTTCGTGACTGATTGGCCTCGTCCCCGAGCGGGAACCATGCGTCACCACGCTTCACAGATTCCATTACAAAATATCTTCCAACAGAACTGAAAAAACGATTTCTTTTTATGTACAGGTGTCTAAACACAAAAAAAACACTTAAAATCTTAAAATACCTTTAAATAACCTTCACCCCTGCTCACTATCCCGCCAACAGCAAGCAGTGCATTCTTTCCGAAGCACCATTGATTTCCACAACAATGAGTAAAAACGACCTTGATCGGTAATATAAGCAGTTATCTCCCTTTGGTTTAACCGCCAAAGCTGTGGGTTGAACAGCACACGTAATGACTGTTCGTGAACAGTTCCCCTCTCCACATTCACCATTACAGCCAATCATCGACGCGGTTACAAACACTTCCACTCCTTTTCGGAAAGATCCTTCGTAGCAGGACAAGCACTCAGTCAGAAACTTTGAATTAAGAAGCTTAGGACGGATGTTTAAAGACAATACAGCAATAAATGTAAGTTTTGTTTTATATTTTTTTCAAATTACATAAGGAATATCAATTTTGTATCATGGTAATTGATATGCTGATATGTATTAACTAGGCAGTCTATGTATACTTTGTATATATACAAAAATGATAATAGTTGGTTGATTAATATTATATTGTTTTGGGTTTATACTCTATCAACATGTAATTAGACCTGACTGTAACTGTGAACTGTGTCATGATTTTACTATTGTTTAACTATAACATTTTCTATAATGTTGGCTGTTTCTTAATGATTAATATAAAATTATTATTGATATTATAAGGGACAAAAAATTTTGTGAAAGAGTGAGAAAAGATAAAATATGTCATATCTTGTACATATATATTTTATAGAAATACATATACACACTTTTTTCATTCACAAACACCCTTCAATGGCTCAGGAGAGCATCTTTACAACTCCAAACGGCACCGTGTTTTGAGATCGTGTTAAATCATCCGATAAGCGAACCCTCCTAGTTGTTTACGAGGAGTATATTTATTAAAAACTTTCGAATTTGTGTGGACAATCCATCAGGTTAAAATGTCCTTTCATTTTCTATTTCCTCTGAAATACAACAAAAATGTAAACAGGTAGAGTTTACCTTTGAAAAGGAAAAAAACAGCATTCTTTATCAAGGTGAGGAGCTTGTGACGTCATGAACTATTGACCCGTGACATGCGCAGTGCGATCTAGTCTGAGTCATGTAAACAGAAGCACGTGGGCGGGTTATGATGCAATTCCTCTGCTATCGCTGTCATTTAATCGTCTTTGACGAACGGGATTACGACAAACACGGGTGGTTTCTGACATGCAAATTCTAGATAAAACGCCCTTACCCCATTAACTACTACAAAGTCGGTGTAAACAAACTGAAAACAAAAACCTGTTGTGCCTGGGCAAAGGCTTGACAACGATTTGCCCTTCCTCGTCCCAGTGTAGTATTTCATTGTGGGACTCGTTTCGATTAAATCGTGAACACAAACGTTTCGCAATAAAACATATTTTCCAAGTGTCTCATCTTAGGAGTGGTGCGAGCTACCTTGTTAACGGGTACACTGGGTTTGTCAGCGTAGGCTCCAGCTAGGATTAACAAGTGCATTCTTTCGATTTCTCACTGACATAACACATGTTATATTTGTCATTACAATTTCTCAGTGAAGTACAGATTCTACTACTATAGCTGGGTTGAGTCCCATCCGGGATTCGAACCAGCACTCTCAGAGTCAGGCACTTAATCGCCAGCACACAAAGCCATCCGTCTAACCCCCTCAGCCGAGATGGCAAAACTAACTTACTGGAATCTGTACTAGTATAGAAAAGTACAATAATGTGTACTTTACTGAGAAAGTGTAATCCTAAATATAAAACGTGTTACATTTGACTACTTTCTAAATGGCACTGTGTATCCATTCTTACTGATATATTGAAATATGCATAATGGCGTGTTACATTTGACCACTTTCTAAATGGCATTGTGTATCCATTCTTACTGATATACTGAAATATGCATAATGGCGTGTTACATTTGACCACTTTCTAAATGGCATTGTGTATCCATTCTTACTGATATATTGAAATATGCATAATGGCGTGTTACATTTGACCACTTTCTAAATGGCATTGTGTATCCATTCTTACTGATATATTGAAATAAGCATAATGGCGTGTTACATTTGACCACTTTCTAAATGGCATTGTGTATCCATTCTTACTGATATATTGAAATATGCATAATGGCAGTGACATGTAATAATTCAAAGATATGACATTTTTTAAATGTGTTTGTCTGTCTGTATGAATGTATGTTTCTTGAGTTTCTAAAAATGAAGAAAATATCTGTACTTATTTATAAAATATCTGTACTTATTTATTATGTTTTATGAATATTTTCTAAAAACCGTTTTTTCTGAAATATATCTTCCTTTCAGAGACTAGATGTTAGTCTAGGTGTAACGTGTATTTAATCACTTCCTGCATAACCCGACTTCAAGGCCACATTACGACACAACCAAAACTTGCGACATAACGCCTAGATAGTAGAGTCATAATATGGGACATATTATACTTGGGTGTATTCCCATGTATATCGTAACATGCTTTTGCAAGACAGGACGGGATTGCCCGTAGAGCAAGATGTTTATTACAACTGTTTCCAGGGGTGTTGCAAACAGTCCTGTCGCTGTTTGAAACATGCTTCACGCTTGAGCCGTGACCTCAATACAAATGTGACGTCACGAGTTTATATCACGTTTTCATTGCATGAGGGTTTATACGTAACACATGTTATTCAAACCCATGGTCCGATCGTGTGTAGCTATTACCTTTAGATGTATAAATGAATGATGGTTTTAAGGGAGGTTACCCATTTTCTTCTGGGGAGGTAGGGCGGTCATTAATTATGTACACATACACACGGGTGGGAGGGGGGTTGGTGGTAGTTATTGATTTTGTAAATGACATGCAGGGGTGGGGTGGGGTGGGTTTCACTTACATGGTGCATACAGTTTAGGTGTGTTGGGGTGGGGGATGGGGCATTCACATTGTACATGCTTCTCCATAAAACCCATCATCACGCCTCCTAGCCATAAATTGTGAGCGGCCCCTTACCCAACCAAAGACGTACTCGGTATGTACTCTTTGCCCTAACTAAATGTAGGTCAAAGAAGATGATATACTATGAAGATGATACATTGTGAATGTTTTATATGATTATGGTTTATTGTAGTGTGTTTTATTTAACACAATTAAGGCGAAACAACATACCATTGTGTTTACATACTATCATACTCAGACATGTTAGAGAATCGTGCGTACAACGTTGATTTCGTCCTCATATCGAAACCTGCATGACTGGTCGCGGTTAATCGACGACTTGTCAAAAGGTAACCCATATATATTATACACCCATGTGACGTCATGATTTTTGCTGACAAAGCACAAACGGCCCTTCGTGCGATTCCAACAATACGGGTACACATGTGGGGCAGCTTATATCTCTTACTCATGATATTACTGAACAGACGTGACTACCCGGGTAGGAAATAACAGATATCTACAGATTTAGATTGTTCGTGACACTGAAACACTTAAGAAAATAAGCGAGTGTAAACAACCCCTACACGCATTCACTAGATACTATATAACGTTTGGTTTAGCGATAGGAACGTCGTGTATTGATCGGAGAAGGCAGATGAATATTCATGGTCTCAACCTAAATCTTACGGAACAAAGTCTCGATAGCTTACCTAAATTCGCTATTTACAGCTATCTGGTTCGACAACAACTGTAACGGCTTCTTGTGGTGTCAGAATACGACTACAGGCACCCCAAGAGGAAATCAAAAGCTCGAACACTGAATAATAGTGCCTGTAGGTATTAAGACCTAATAATAGCTAGAATATCGGAAGTGCTATTTTTAGTTCAGACTACGATCTATATATATATACATGTATATACCATAACGAAAATCGCATGTCCAGACACTTCATGCATGAAACCGAATCAGGTAAGACTATTCATAATATTGTAATTTATTTGAATATTTAGGTGTAGACATGTCTGTCCAGCCTTTATTTTAAAGTGTCCGTGCGTCCGGTTGCCTGTTCGCCCTTCTATCGTATTTGTTGGTCTGCGTTTTGTGACTGGTCATATGCCGATATATCACGTGTATAACATGTGTCTGTATATTGACCATGTCTACGTACATTTATCAGTGACACTGTTCATCTATCAATCTACCTAATCCAGTATATTCTATTTTGTTATGTTTCCACTGCGTACAATAAACTATAACTATTAGTTCGACATAACCGTAGTTCGTTGAACGCGTTTCGGCTGAAATATACAGCAAGCGGCCGGGACCAATAAATCAGTTCGTTATGTCCACCAGTTCGTTATATCCATCAGTTCGTTATATCCACCAGTTCGTTATATCCACCAGTTCGTTATATCCATCAGTTCGTTATGTCCACCAGTTCGTTATATCCATCAGTTCGTTATGTCCACCAGTTCGTTATATCCGTCAGTTCGTTATATCCATCAGTTCGTTATATCCGTCAGTTCGTTATATCCGTCAGTTCGTTATAAGCGTTTACTGTATCGTAAAATACGGTTATGGTGAATTGAAAGGAACCACTAATTTTAGTACGCAATAGGCATTTCGACAGAAATATATAGCATGTTGCCGCAGCGAAACAATCCAGTTCGTTATAGACGTGGGGCGGTGGGGTAGTCAAGTGGTTAAAGCGTTCGCTTGTCACGCCGAAAACCTCTGTTCGATTCCCCACATGGTTCAATGTGTGAAGCCCATTTCTGGTATCCCCGCCGTGATATTGCTGGGATATTGCTAAAAGCGGTGTGAATCTAAACTCACTCACTCACTCATCGAACTGCGTATTTCTCTTCCCCCGGATATACTACATGGGCTCCCTCTGATGCTCCGGATGAGTTAGTCTGCCTAACAATCCCTGAGCCGCATTTTACCCTTCCACCCAATTCCTGCTGAAACGGGGCGGTGGGGTAACCTAGTGGTTAAGCGTTCGCTCGTCGCGCCGAAGGCTCGGGTTCGATTCTCCAATGTGTGAAGCCCATTCCTGGTGTCCCCCGCCGTGATATTGCTGGAATATTGCTAAAGGCGGCTTAAACACAACTCACTCATGCACACACTCTTGCTGAAGCCCTAAATCAAACAGGTCAGGTTCTCATATCCCATCTCACTGGGGCTCCTTGTCAGTTTGGGGCGGTGGGGTAGTCTAGTGGTTAAAGCGTTGGCTCGTCACGCCGAAGACCCGGGTTCGAATCCCCACATGGGTACAGTGAGTGAAGCCCATTTCTGGTGTCCCCTGCCGTGATATTGCTGGAATATTGCTAAAAGCGGCGTAAAACCAAACTCAGTCAGTCCTTGTCAGTTTAAAAGGAACTATTTGTTTCTATCAAAGGTGTATATATTCAGAGACTAAACGTTAATCTACATGTAAGTGTACCCAGTACTATTATTCTTCTGTTCCTTCGGCTCTATCTAATCTAATCAATCTCACTGTATTTGCGATCCATATATTTATAGTTCGAATAGATACGCAATCTTTCAATTCTGTCTTATATATCTGTCACTACTCTACATGGATATAACTTCTATATATCATTCTTTTTGTCTGTCCAGCTATTCCATTTAGCCCATTATCAACATTGTCTATAACTTAACCTGTATGTGGTGTCCTCTCATTACGAATTGGGAGATAACCATCTATGTAACTGTCTTTCAATTTATTGTCTCACCGATTCACTTCCTTAATTACGTAGAACTGACGTATACACGAACAGACTTCTGTGCGTCTTTACGAGGATTAAAGATTTTTTTTAAATATAAAATATTTTGAGATGACCCCCGACTGGAAATGCTTCACAGTACAATCGTGTACTGTGAAACATGAGTCGGGGGTCATCTCTAAAACAATAGTTTTTTAATCTTTAATCCTGGCAAACACACGAGGGCCTGTAGCTGTTAATAGCGCCTCGATCATATGACCTTGAACCCATACTGTTAAACTGTGCCATCCCTGTTTCCATACGAAATCCGGGCTTGTCAACCAATACCCGGTAGTTTGAAAGCAGTTAACTGTCAACTGAAACATTTCCGTGCCGTGCAATTAGAGAGGGGAGGTTAGGTTTTCATTTCTTTCTCGCGATCCTTTAGCTTGGCAAATGCGGAAACCAATCATTCAGTTCCTTTTGGATATGATGGCACAAGGGATGGTCGGATGTGAGGGAAATCATTTAAAGGAGATGGGATGTATGTAACGGAAGTGTTCAATATGCACAGAGCGCATCGGGGTGAATGAAACAACTGCCTTCCATGTGCATGGTTTTAAAGGGTTGTGTGGATCCGGTTCGACCTCTTGAGTAAAGAGGAAGATTCGATGCTTGTCGTTGAAGCGTGGGAGCACCCCGTCGTGTTATTAATATGGGCCTTCAAATATAGTCGTAAATTTAGGGACGTCATTGATTAACTTTTAACATAAAGTTGGCCACCATTCCTCACAAATGTGTTTTTTTTTTATCTCACAGTTATCTTGTTTTTGGCAATTTGTGTTTTCTTGTGTTTCCTAACTCTCCCCAGTTTTATGGAACATTTTTTCCAGCCCTATGAAAATGTAACGGTTTTGTAATAAGTCCGAACCGTTTAGGGCAGCATTTTTATTTTTTGTGTTTCTCATCCCCCGACGACCCTTCTAATTTTATCACCGACGCTGCCAAAAGTCACGAGAACGCGAGAAATTGTACTAAGAATTACAATAAATGAGAATCAAGAACATTATTCAGATAATTTTGTCTTTGTTAAGTTGGGTTTTTTCCCGACCGACCCATATTCAGAATTTTGTGGCTACTTGAAACACATAAAAAAATGATGCCCTTACATAGCATTTGAATAATAAGATGACCAAGTCATTGGTAAGCCCACGCATTCCCAGTAAACGAAATGACAACGAACAGTAGCTCATGTGAAGCTTCTGTGGGCTTTTATGTGAAAGGAACCTGAAGCGGAACCAAACGATGCCCACGGAAGTTATGTGATATAACACATGAACGTGATAACCAATATTTCTCGAGAAGTGTGCCCTACCACAATAGTTGTATACTAACGTAGTTCCGTGCAGGAACATATGCTTCAATATATATTTGCAGATTTGATAAAAGCATGCAGGAAACCGGGACAAAGATGTTTGTTTAGTATTCCGTTTGAACTTTCCCTTGAGATATATGATTATCTTTTCACTACATGTATATGTCTATGAAGTTTTCAGTTATTGTATGTCGGCTTCGTATAGGAAGAGTGAGTGAGTATTGTTTTATGTCGCTTTGAGCAATATTCCAGTAATATCACGTCTCATTTCAAACTGCATCTCTCTTATCATCATCTTCAACATCACTTTCTTGCTCTTGGGAGCTCTCTCTCATTCGACGGTTAGTTTCAGCTATTGAAGCGGGCTCCGTACGAGTGTGGGAGTCAGTGAGTTGGGTTTTACGCCTCTTTTAGCAATATTCCAGCAAGATCACGGCGGGGACACCAGAAACGACCGAATGCTTCAACCACTAGGCTACCCCACAGCCCCTCGTATAGGTAGAGATCTATACTGACGTCCTGGGTACATATTGAGTATGCGTCGTTCTAGTTGTCCATGGATCATAACCACTGTGCAAAATAGCTACTGGCCCGCTAGCACGTGGCTTGTAAATATCCAGTTGGACCAGTAAATCTCCACAGTCATTGGCCCGACTGGCCAGTGAATTTTCTTGGTGTCATTTTGTTAATATATCACTCTCTCCGACTTCATAAGTTACAGTACACTTTTAAATCATGCAAGATTATGGCCTGATAAATATGTTCATCATATTAGCTACTTCATGATGAAACCCGTGTCTACATTCAAATTTCGGGCTAGTGAATTATTTTGTGGGCTAGTAACTACCAGGCATAGCTAGCCCGACTGGCTAGCAAAATTTGGAAACTATTTCGCACTCTGATCATAACTGAGACGAATCCTTGTCCAGGTGGTCCTGGAATTGCTAATGGTCTGTCGATATAGGATATGGATTCTAATGTTATGTAACATGTATTAAACCAAATTATGTTCATAAACAATCTCACCTTAGTGCCTTTTGGTATCATATACATGTATATCATCACACCTCGATGCTCGATATATATTGATACACTGGCTCGATATATACTGTTGATATATTGGATGACAAAAGGCACGAGAATAACATTCTGTATATTTTATTCATTCTTCCAGTAAAAAACGCACGGCAGCTATAATATTAGTAATGTCATTTGATAGTGACGTCATATTCACAGATGACGTCACAATAGTTTTCAAAGGTTTGTGATTCCATTTCATTTTAGCGATATCCCTCAGTAAGCTGGTACCGGCTCCCATATCACTTTTTATAGCTAAAATGGATATAATTAGGAGATAAACATCATGTGTTGGCCAATTTCTGGGTGTGATTGAGTATTTGAAGCACGGGAATTCAGTTGTTGAGCATTGAAAAAATGGCGGCTGGTAGTATGGGCAAAGGTCATGGTCGAATGGCGTCACTCTCAATAGTGACGTCATCTGTTTTGTTCTATTACGTTTCCATATTTGTAAAAGGTGTGCCAGTGACCTCCGTCATTTGCTTCAAAACTGTTGTTTGTTTTTATTTTATTAAAACTTCTTATCCATTTTAGCTATAATAACGGTAACGCTCTGTTTCAGGGCATTATCATTTGCAGAAGTCCTCGGTCTTTTCAACTTAATGAAATACCTCTGGCTTCTGCAAATGATAATGCCTTGAAAAATAGCGTTACCCTTATAGGAGACACCACTTTATCCTGCAAGCAAGTGTTTTAGGATAAATGCGTGTTATGTTAACTGTGATTTCTAAAAATAAAACCATCACACCAAACGTAATATCAACAACCATGATTCCTCGGAAATCCAAAGAAAAAAACCCGAAAGTAACAAAATATATTTCCGGGAATGTATTACACGTTCGGGAATCAAGGTGAGATTCGGAAACGGGATTCTTGGAAAAGTAGGGACTTTTCACTCACATGTCGATTCGTCGGTAGTTATATAGTCTGAATCGAATTGATGAGCGTCGACGACGCACCGGAATTTGTTCCCTGTTACTGAGAAGCCCTTTCGTTTTCTGGGACAGAAGGATAGAAAAAGAAAATTTAGTGCATGGAATATGCAGTGCCAGGTAGGTGAATACCAAACTGGACATGTTTTGCGTGTATTCCTTTGAAGACAGAAATCTGAAAGTTTGCGGGTAACTGCAGAGACTCGATCGGTTACCCGGTTACCCACAAAGAACGGGTTTAGACTGGGGGAAAGATCCACTGTAACTACGGTTTTATATCGTGAATTGCCAACGTATTTTGTATTTGTACTGATATTGTATTTCATTGTATTCTTGCAGCAATTATCCAGATATCTTCACCTGAGACGTCGATGTTGTAAGGCGATCACGTGACCTGTGACGTCATGCGTAACACAGCTACCCCATCAAAAGTCAGGTGTGTTCAAGTGGGTGCTTAGTTATGGCAGGGAGACTATATAACGTTGTAGAGTATCCCTGGTTATGGTGTTTGTTTTTTGTTACACTGAGGTGTAATTAATCATTTCATCATCAAGATATGTTCCATGTGCCATGCATATTTAGAACGGACACTGAAAAAAGCTGCTTTCTGTCAATACCGGACTGTACTCGGTCCGAATCTATTACGTAAAATCACGATCACTTCCTTTTTGTTTATGTGATGCTGTATGCTCACAACCCGTGAAGATCCGGGTTAGAATTGGTCTTCAGTAACCCATGCTTGTCGTAAGAGGCGACTAACAGGATCGGCTGGTCTGACTTTGCTGATTTGGTTGATGCATGACATTGCATCCCATGCGTAGATCGATGCTCATGATTTCATTCACAGTATTCATTGAACCAGACTCGATTATTTACAGACCGCCGTCATATAGCTGGAATACTGCTGAGTGCGGAGTTAAACAATAACCAAACCAAATCTGACAAATCAGGATCTCTGCCTAAACCGGACGAAACTTTCGACCTCAGAGACGGTCAGTTCCACGGTCATGAACTGTACCACGTGATCAGCGAGTGCGTTGTGCCGACGTCTTTGACATATATCTGTCTATTCAAACCACATGAATCATGTGTACAGTGGCTATTATAATGTATATTTAAACGAGATAAGGTGATGGTGATGCTTGTGGCACTACTCGAGTTATTTTGTCTCATTTAACAAACGTACACGTGAGTGTACATATTCTACTCTTGTGTGTTCATTCTAACAAGACCGCCTCCGTGGTGTAGTGGTTAGAGCGTCCGCCCGGAGAGCGGAAGGTCGCGGGTTCGATCCCCGACCGCGTCATACCAAAAGACGTTAAAATATGGTACTTGTTGGTCCCTGCCTGGCGCTCAGCATTAATGGGTACAACAAGGACTGGTCGGCTCGGAGTCAGTATAATGTGTCTGAGTGGGGTATTCATGCTTCACTGCGGCATGGTATCTCAGTGGGCTAGCACTATAAAACCAGCTTCAGTCTGGGCTAGTACAAGCAGCCGCACATACACATACACACGCATGCACGTCGTCATATGAGCGAAATATTCTCAAGCACGACGTAAAACCCAATTTCACCTCACCTCACCTCACCTCACCTCACCTCATTCTAACAAGCAAATGATCACAGTGGATTATGAGGATTGTTCACCATGCTTGTGTTTGTTCCAGAGATAACAGCTTATGTATATGGCAGTCCATTAACCATCCTTTACGAAAATCATTTGAAGACAAACATCAGTCTCGGCACATTTTACGTCTTGATACGTAATACCAACAATTGTTATGTCTTCCTTACGAACCAGTAGAAGCTCTGAGGATAGATCTTGTAAGTATATATAATTGGCGCTGGTGTTATAGTTATGAGTGAGTGAGTTGGGTTTTACGCCGCTTTTAGCAATATTCCAGCAATATCACGTCGGGGGACACCAGAAATGGGCTTCACACATTGTACCCATGTGGGGAATCGAACCCGGGTCTTCCGCGTGACTAGAGAACGTTTTAACCACTAGGATATCCCGCCGCACCGTTATAGTTATGAATAAATGACTTGTAATATAATAGTTCAATAACACAAGCTCTGTTATAACTAATTTATAGATTGATGAATCTATTATAATAAGATGTTTTGTGGTGCTTACTTGCGTCGACCGGTGCTCATGCCAATTCTGTAATAATGGGTATACAAATTGTGACCAAATGTCAAATTTTGTTCATCCCACTAAAGGGGGTTAGTAGTTAAAGCATTCGTGCCGCCGAAGACACGGGTTCGATTCCCCATATGGTCAAAATGTGTGATACCCATTTCTTGTATCCCCCACCGTGATATTGCTGGAATATTGCTAAAAGCGGCGTAAAACTCAACTCACTCACTCACTCATTCCACTAAGGATGTACAACTGTTTGAAAGGGGCATTTGTCTTGTAAACGAAACACGATTTGATTTTTAAAGACATACAGAAACATATCAATCAATTTATCAGATTTCCTTTTAATCAATAAATACATATATGGTCACAGTATTATTTGTATAAGGAAAGGTTAACTAACAGGTTAATAGAGCATCACTATGGCATAAGCGGCAATAGGCTGCGACCTTGGTAATACACTTCCTCGTTTGTGGTCAAATACCAACAACAGTGTCAAGGTTGTCTGTTCGTTCATTGATAAACACCCACATGGAAGTCTTTCCTGTTTATTTGCACCAAAGTGAACAACTTGATCATCTAATATCAGTAAACAGGTACTGTCACAGTGATTACACAAACAGGTGTGGTCTGAATGATTGTATAAGCACGCGACTGACCCAGTTATCAGTCACACCACAACTGATTCACCCGTAATCGATTTCAGGGTGTTGATAGTTGTGTCAGCAATTTGGGAGCGGCTATATTCGCAATTCGTTTAACAATTCAATGTATTTGTTTCCGATTATATTTGGTTGATTGATATTAAAATAATATTTGGTTCAGTGAGTGAGGCCAGTATTCATTAAACGAACAGTCATTTTACTTTTAGTAACGAGTACAGTACTGAAACGGGATACATAACACATATTTCACAACGATTATGAAACACCTATTGCATCACCCGTTCGAATTCAGTCCCGTGTGATAAAAGTACACGCTGGAAACATGTAGAATGTTGAAGGCTATTTACTGGGACGTGTGTGACCCACTTCTAAAGCGACCTAACTCGGTCAACGGAGAGCTTTCGTTTGGAAACACATCGTAAACACATCGATACAATAAATGTGTGTTGCCCATATATGATCTTGTAATCACTCGCCCATATCAAAATCAATATTGAAAAACTTAACTGATCATGCTGGTTACAACCCCCATAAATCAGTCAAAACTAGTTTTTGTCGCTTTCAGTCTGTCAATATCTTGTTGACATGTTGTTTGGAACGTTCCAGCACTGAGGCCGTTTTGTTATGCTACTAAATATAGCACATTACTCACACAGGAGGAATATCATTGGTTACAATACTGCCGTCAGAGGGCGCTGCTACAAATATTGCTCTGACGTCAAGTCATTCAGTGTGACGTAGGCGTCCTAAGAAGACAGTTTGTTTACATCCATGGCATAATACATATTGCAGCCCAATGAGTAAGCAAGTGTTCCTCTGTGGCTGTGAAATTCTTTTTTGGATTTGTAGCAGACAGTAACCCAGAGATATCCGAGAACACGGACGCAGGCAGTCGAAATCCGGATCCAGCCGAGGCCAGAGGAAAGGTACATCCTATTATTGTGGCCACACTTGGGGTTTTCCCAAAATCCTTGATTCTTAGAAGTCTCGTTTTGACAGTTACCATCAGCTGATTGAGAAAACTGTTGCATCATTGTCAGTTAAAAACTAGGAAACAAACTAGGAAAACACACATACACTGAGGTGCTGTCACTCTCACGTGATCACGTGTCACCATCTCGAGACTCGAACGAAGATGTGTTTTACAGGTTAGGACGACCTTTCACTTTCAAGTTTGTGATTTTAACTGTACTACCTTATTCGAACGACACTGTGTGTCAGTTTAGGGTTGTCCAATGATGTGTATTTGTATTATCTTAGAACCTGTGTCATATTTGGTACCCCCTCTGGATCACCAACACACTAAACAAATTAATACATCTAAATAATAAACTAGATAAAATCAAGAATGATGATAATTTTATGGATAAACAACTTCTGTATTCTGTGAAAGACGAAGTTTCAACACAAAATCACAAAACTAAATTATCTGGATTACTCATAAATAATTTATGGTTAAAATGATTGGAATATTGACTCTATTCTGTGGTAGGCCTGTGCAAGGTATAACAATATCCTCACTATATTCATATATCTTATAAATCAATTAATGAGGGAAACATGATTTCATTTATTTCTCTTTCTGTATTTCAGGCTTCAGGATCCAAGATGCTCAGCGAGCGACCATTGAAGAGAGCTGGTAAACGCCCAGGTCGTAAACCATCCAGGGTAGATGTCAAAGCTAAACTTGAAAGGAGTCGACAAAGTGCACGAGAGTGCAGAGCCCGGAAAAAGCTTCGGTATCAATACTTGGAAGAGTTAGTGCTGAACAGGGAACAGGCTATATTTGCTCTCAGAGATGAACTTGAGGTGGTAAGTGGTAATTAATACAGATTTCAAATTGCAGGTTTCATAAGTGTTGAAGTTCAGTCAGTGCTAGATACATAATCATAAATCATTAGGAACAATACTTATGAAAGCACTGTATGTTATATTATCTTATTCCCATCAAATTACATGTACTTGAATCATGAAAAGGTAGATTTTTTCATTGAATTAATTGTGTTGAAAATTCTTGTATTAAACATATCATAAACAAGTAAATGTTTATGGCAGAAAGCATGATGAGCTTATTTTTTATTTTACATGTTATTTTTAACCATCATTTGTTTTCGGATTTGATAACGCACAGTAAAGCATACCAAAAGTGATTTGAGCTTAGTGCAAGGGAGGTAACTCTTATCTGTCCAGACATCAGTTTACAGTGGTCAAATGGTTTGCTGGTAGACACCCATTCTCTCTCTGCTATGATAGAACAGTTGTTTATAATTTTCACTATCTTCTTGGGATACTCCTGATTTACTCCAGAGGGTTTTATTCTGTAATTAAAAAGTACACACCCTATACAGTGTTGTGGTCATATCTGGTCTTGGTCTAAAGTTGTATTCACTTAGTGCATGGTACTGTTCTTTGTATCAGTAATTGGCCTGTTTAGGGTGATCCTAAACTCCTAGATTTACATACTTCATAAGACTTAAAGAGCTGTAAACAATGTTTGAAGGAATTTTGCTTGGATGGCTAAATGATTCAAGCTGTGACAACCATTAGAGTGAGTGAGTTTAATTTTACGCCACTTTTAGCAATATTCCAGTAATATCACGGTGGAGGACAACACACATGGTCTTCACAAATTGTACCCATGTGGGGAATCGAAACCCGGTCTTCAGTGTGATGAGCAAACGCTTAACCACTAGGCTACCTCACCACCCCGACAGCCAATAGACAAAAATGAAATTCAAGACAAGTTCTCTTCTTCTGTCTGATCAGGGTGAAGTCAGTCAAAACAATTTCTATATGTTAACACATAGTCCTATTAAATATTATTCCAAGTGCCTGGTCTTAGTTCAGTAGTGGACACTAAACAATGGCATAAACTATAGTTCCTCTTTACTATTAACTGCCTTTAAACGCTGCACCATACAATTCACTACTGACTTCCACCACATATAAAATAACCTATAAACTTGGCCCTAAAATGAATTATGAACTTGGAGTTGTTTGTTTTTCAGGTACCCATTCTATAAAGGGTCTCATTGCAATGTCAATCTTAAGCCTGTGATAAAGCATGGGAGTAATGATCCGCTTAGCACTATGATCTCTTTGTAGGATGGTTCCCTCTAAATTTGGTAATGATTTCGTGCATTCATAGGTAGAAAATTAGATGGTCGTTGTACTAACTGAGCCACTGTTTGGCAGACAAGCATTGGCTTTATGTTGTATTTGTATTCAGTGGTGTCACTGGTATTTGAATCACACTCATGAATTGACATGGACAGATTGCTTTACCTTTCAGCTGCCTACTCAAACATTATTCAAATAACATGTTGATCATTTACGTTATGAGATATGTATTGTTGATTATGTGAAATTCATGTTGGAATTACAGTTTAAACAATGGTGCATACAAGTCGATAAAGGGGTTGTAACAGACAAACTTCTCAACACGATAAATCAAGACTCTTCACAAGGGAAAAAGGGTCAAGGTCAAGCATCAACTAGCAGCCATCTTGGATCAAGCCGGACAAGTACAGTAACATCAGGAACACAGGGATATGTTACATCGAGTTCTGGATCACTTACTCCTGATATGACAGACTATGGAACCACAAGTGGGACAAGGTCATTTGAGCACCAGTCTCTGCCTAGTAGTACTGTGAGGCACTTTCCAGGATCACATGTAGCCTCGCATCTCCATGGGGCAGGTGCTCAAGTTCACGACACAAGTCGTCTTTATCCAAACCAGATGTCTCACACAAGCGAAGGAATGGGTCAGTTGCCAAGGTCAAATACGTTAGTTGGGGGACATTATTCCAACGTTCCCAACGTTCACTTTGGTGAAAGTGTGTCTGGGTCGATGTACCCATCCCAGTGTGAATATCCCAGAAGTTCCATGGGTAATATGAGTAACTACACAGCTCCTGTAACAGTGTCACAGAACTATATAAACCTCAATAATATGAACATTCCCAACACATGCATAGGATCACTTGACAACACCATGACAACAATCACTTCTACAGCGCAGTCATCCATCCATCCCAACTACAATATTGGGGCATCGTACAACCCTCAAGCATCAACATCACAAGACACAGTTGGGCCGGCCCAGGAAACCTCGTGGCTGTCTCTGCTGGTGGATATGGAACCTGGATTGTCCCGCCAAGGTGTGGAGTCAGCTTGTGGAACCCCCCAGTCTGTGGATGGTATTCGGCCCCTTCCAACCGTGGTACAGGACTTCCTTGACTCCTCAAACTCTGGCTCGGACACATGACAATAGGTGACTTCTTCTAGGGTTCGACCCTAGGAGGAGTCACTGTCTTTGAGAAACCAATAGAATAGCTTTTCAGCATCAGATACCTCCAACACAGTGCTTTATTTCTGCTTTTATATGGGATGAATCTTTTTGGGTACTAGTGTACATCTGTGACGAGAAACGAACTCGATCAGGGTTTTACATGACGCGTCATTCCTGCGTATTCGACGCAACAATTTTGTAAAAGACTCTCAAAATATTATCATACGAGTCAAGCTTGACGCAAGTTTTATGGGTGACCCTCACAACTCAATAAAATCGATTTGATAAGCAAAAGAATGATATTGTCAGATTGTTCCAGAGAACTCAGAGGAGACAGTAATCCTAGCTGTTTGAATTGAACAATGCTGTACTTTCATTTGGTGTTGTGACATGCATTTACATACTGAGAATGATTAACACAAAGAAATATTAAACTTTTCATGACTCCTAAATATTGAAAATGACTCCCAAAAATACATATTGTGAGTCACCATGACTCCCATTTTTAAAAGTCTGTGTAAAACCCTGCTCGATGTGCTTGATGGCTACTTCTTCAGGAAATTGGTCATACAGACCAAACAATAATTTACATCTGTTTTATCTATTTTTATTGTTGCTGTAACCCATTACTTAAAAGACATTTGTGCTGTTATTATATATTTTGCCTGAAAACCCCCAGCTATAGTGCTAACCGTAACACCTTTGTATTAATGACATTTGTGGAAACAGTCAACACACTCCATATTATGTGTACAATTTATTATTTCTTAATTGTACTTGTTTGACATATTATGTTGGATTGGCCTTCTGTACATTTGCATTTGTATTGACTTATCCAATGATTCAATAAACTGTTTACTTTCTATTGTTCATAGAATTTCGAAAAAAGCAGTATTTGCATTACCATTGTTAAAAAGAGCAAATATTTTAATTGTGTTGATATAATACCTGTTTTTGTTTGAATTTGTTTTTCTGTTAATAAAACCTGTTGATAATGAACAGGTGTAAGTGGAAATATGAAAAGTATTTATTCACATGTATGTGACACAGGGCAGATTCTAACCTCACATTCAAACACTGGACTCATGCAATATTTTAAATGGCATATTTATAATTGTATTGTACTGTTGACACAAAGAATGGCATACATTGTTGTTTTTGTATTTGTTGTAATTATTTCATGTATTTACTGTAGCAGTAAGATGTATTTACATGTCTCAGATCAGATATTGGTTTGCAGGCTCATGCCACCTTCAAGACGTTTTAGTTCATGAATTTGGAATAAATAGGATTAGGATTTTGGTGTAAATGTTCTGTTTTGCATTTTATGTTTATTTTTCTTTCATAATATTCACTTTTGAAAGTAACATAGAGTAAGAATTTGGTTCATTTTGAACTTTTTCCAAAGCTAATGAATAGACCCACTGTCAACATTACATGATGCACCTTCCCCTGAAAGCTACAAGAGGCAACTGGGACTGTCATGGTGAATAAACCATACTGATGGTTTGTTGCTACTAGTATTTAAACATGTATACCACAGTGTACCCATGTTTATAATGGTAGTATTTAAATGGGTATGATGTTTTCACATTTAAGAGGGCAAGATATGCTAGGATTTAAACTGGTATGATGTGCTAATATTTTATTTAAAGGGGTTTCATATGCTAGTATTTAAAGGGGTTTGATGTGCTAGCTATTATTTGAAGGAGTACAATGTGCTAGTATTCAAGGGGTACAATGTGGGGTAGTCTTGTATTTGTTTACCTGATGCTAAGGCGTGAGAACCACTGTCATCCAACATTGTCTGAGCTGGAGGACTGTACAGCCAATGGGACGGAAAAGCTAAAATTTTGTTGCCATGCACCATACATATATATATTAAGACCCCTGAGATTATTATTTACATTTTATTCTCTACAGTATTATCATTCATGAAAGACATTTGTATTTTCTATCCAGTCAGGAAATTCTGATTTTTAAATCAGTGTATTTTTATTTCATGTCATATAGGTCAAAGTATTTAAGTGGTATGGTTTTAAACCGCTTTTAGCAATATTCCAGCAATCATTGAAAATGGACTTCACATGTTTTACTCATTTGGGAAACTGACCCTGCCCTGACAAACAAATACTTTAACCCCTAGGCTATCCAACCACCCTTCAAAATATATAGTCCATTCAAAACAAGGAAAATCCTATATATATATTTTTGTTTTACACGTCTAAAGGTTTATGCTGATGTTTATTTTCACATCAGCTATTTTCTCTTCCCCTGGCATTGCCACAGCTGAAGTGCCTGTTTCTCTTTATGCAAAGTCTTGAACATGTTTATAAAACTACTGCTTCCAAAACCAAAGGAACTGATATTTTTTAATGATTTTATTTTATAAAACCATCAAGTTTAATGAACACACATACAACTTATATTTGACGTCATATTTCTTTTGAAATGTGCCCACTATTTCAGTTATAACTCTCGAATACGAACAAAACATGCATTTGTTGTAATTAATTTGGTAGCTAGTTTTTATATTTTAATCTGTATTTATCCATATGTAAGTAAGTTACTTGCTTGGATTACATGTTGACTGTTCATTACTAGCTATGTAACATTGGATGGAAATGAATGTTTGATGCTTATTTTCAGTTTCAATAAAATTACAGTGAAAAAAAATTTATTCAATAAACATTTTTAGCATTGTGTTTGGAAATTATATACTTAGTATCCTCAGTGTTATGTAATAATATCACAGTCATATGGAAACTGGGTGTATAAGTAGTATGCTATAATCACATATGTTATAAGTTAATTCTCAGTTGACCACATATTGACTGCAAGGCAGCTACCACAGTGTGTATGCAATGTGTTTCTCCTGCTTTCTAAATGACTGTTAGTGGTGGTTTGTACTCTCTGCTAAAACCTGTCTCCGTTATGTACTGATTTTACACTATACCATGTTAACTTGATGTTTGTTCAGGAGTGATCTGGATTGTATTACAGTAGTTTTTTTCATGGATTTTGTTCTTATTTGCCTCGAAGGTTATACATGTTAATTTCATTGGACAAACAGTCCACTCATATGCCCCATTAAATAAGATAGTATATTTCTTGTGTTGATGGATTGTAATGGTTATGGTTTTATATGTTTTGAGTTTTTGAAGCTCTTTCATTTGGTCCTTATGGATTTAGCTCACTCAGTGAAGGGTACTGGTAGCTGCTATGCAGAAGAATGTCTTGACTTAGAACAAAGTTTTTCCCCATCTTTATCATAATAATCATTGATATCTGTTGTATTCCCAGCTTACATTTGAGAACTTATTAGCTATAATATTTCGTAAAGGCATTATGTATGATAAATACTGAATGCAAGAAAGTTGTTATTGAACATATGTTTCTATGTTACCATGGTTACAGGTATTGTCATTATACTCTTTTCCTAGTCAAGTGCTTCTCGAAACATTTTCCGTGTGTTTCCATGAGTGTAATACTATGTCAGTCTGTCCTGTAATTTATAGGATTAAAATGGTTTGTTATTAAAATTAATATTATTTTGTCAGTTTCATTTTCATATATAATGATGTTGGTATATTTCTTTTTGGATGGTGTATATTATGTACCTGTTCAGCATGGAATAAAATGCTCTATTTGAGAGAACCACATAATATATATTGTGAACATATTCAATAAAAGATGATGTTACAATACAATTGTCAATAAGAAAGTACTACAATAATGTTCTGTTCTCCAGAAGGAAACAATCAGGAACTTTAAATATTATAAAGAATATATTTTCTCACTGTGTGTTTGTTTTGTGTTCGAGCATGCAATACACAAAATAGTGGTAATTGCACTGGTATACAATTATTCATGATTGTGTATTTCTACTATATTCGCAATAGATCTAGATGCATTGGTTAAGAACAAATCACCTTATCTAAAGACACCATGAAACAGAAGAATAACTTTGGATGAATTTCCAAAGAATATATTACAAATCCCCTCCCACTCATGGAACTTCAGACTCCAAAGTTAAGTACAGCTTCTTACAATATATTAAGTTTAATTACAAGTGCTTGTTAATTTACAAATCACAGTATGCACTGTTACTGAGTTTCTTGGCTTATCTGAAGTGCTGGTTGGCAAACAAAAATTAAGTGTTTCGTTTTATGAATGGAATTGGTTTCTTTCCATGGGCAACCCACTGTTACTGCAAGTTACACTTGGAAGGAATTTGATTATTAAAAGTAGGTCTACGATCACACCAAATCACAGTGACTAATGGGATAGTGTGGTAAGGCTCACTGACTTGGTTGACACATCCTCCTATCCCAATTGCGTTGATTGATGCTCATGCTGTTGATCACTGGATTGTCTGGACAGACTCGATTATTTACAGACCAGCGCCATATAGCTGTGATATTGCTGAGTGTGGCGTAAAACTACTCTCTCTCACTCACCAAATCACATCGTTTACTGTCAATCTCATGAGAAAAGAGAACGCTGAGGATATTCAACCCTCTTAGGGTTGACACAAATGGCTTCAGATGTGGACAACATGGTGATCATGATTTAAGTCTCTCCTGTCAGTAATGGGGTGATTTATGAACAGGTGCCCGACACTGCTGATTAAGGTGTACAGGCAAACATGAGTTGGGCATCATGTAGTACTTGCAAGTTGCAGCCTCACACCGGAAGTCTCTTCCGCATAATATCAAACGTGCAAGTAGGATATAAGATCAGGTGCTGAGATAATTACATATATTTTCTTGCAACTGTATGTTGACCTGTAGTGTATATTAATAGTCAAGCCATTTTTACTGTAACTTTCTCATCTCACCTGTCAACAATTTTGTAATAAAGCATCTCAGGAACAAGCTCATCAGTGTACACACGTATTGCAGGTTTATCACTTCAATACAGGGCGGTGGGGTAGCCTAGTGGTTACAGCGTTCGCTCGTCACGCCGCTTTAACCACGAGGCTAACCGGGTTCGATTCCCCACATAGTACAATGTGTGAAGCCCATTTCTGGTGTCCTCCGCTGCAATATTGCTAAAAGCGGCGTAAAACTAAAGTCAGTCACTCACTCACTCACTCACTGAATGCAATGGTGTGATAGCAAATGCATGAGATATTCGTAAATGTAATGTATTCATCTCTGATCGAGGCGTAAGCAGTCAAGGGGGGACAACTCATAACTTACGTCCATAGTAGCAGAATCCACATACTAAATTCGTTTAATGGTCTCAGATTATGGTTAGAAATATAGTAGGGGTTAATTTTATAACGGGATAATGCATGTGTAATACATATGGTCAGCCTTGTTTAGGCTAGGAGGAAACACTGATAATCGTTGTCGACATCATCTTGCCCCTGTGGCAAGAAAGCAAGCAATTTTCAAACATTCACAAGTCACTACTTCTTGAACACACAATATTGCACATTACACGTATGTGCATTCAACAGAATTTACATTGCTCGTGTCTTAATTCATCTTTTCCAACGTTCTACCTTTGAAAAAAATGATACTCGTTTTGTAACGCACGCAACTGCATTATCAATGTACGGAGCTTCAGGAAGGAACTATGCATATAATGTCATCTACCTGCATATGTCTGAATATATCAAGAACGCTTCTCTCAATACTCTTAGTAGCATCTGCACATATTTGTATGTACACGCCTACAGGAAAAGAACTATTGAAGGCACTGAAAGATAAGCCAAGAAAACTGGAAGTTCTATGATCTGAAGTGAAAATTGATTGAAGTTATCCCAATCCCAGGTCATGTTTGTGTGTCCTTGGACACTGTGCTTTGGCTCAGTTTGACCATTCACTTGGAGGGTTATCTCATAATTTACACTTGCATGCTTCCGTCGGTACACGCATTTATTCCGATAAACTCATTTGTGTCATTGGAAAGAAAAATAACGTAACATTATCTAAACACAGAATATTAGAATGTGGCGTTAGATTTCTCAATAGTGTGAAAAGAGAATAGTACTAATATAGGACTAATGACGGTAACGGTAGTATCTGGAGACGTAAGGTCAATACTTGACCCCATGAACAATGGATGACGTCATAACGTATTGTACTTTCTAACAGCAGTACTATATTGCGTCAACTGACCAGCTTTATGAATAGCTAAAATGCGCACGTTCAGATATCTGTCCAAGTATAAAAACACTGTGGATTTTATAGAAAACATATTTGGCTTTTACAGTGTATTTCCATATAACATCGTAATTTCATCGATTCCAAATTGAATGTGAAAACCACGAATGAAAACATTTAAGTTCCAAGATATAAGATGGACAAAGGTCATTTTTTTGTATTCCTTTCGCATTTTCCTCGCTGATTTTGTCGGAAAGGCATTGTGTCTTCGAAACAGATTGAAGGTCGTTCCTAATTAACTTCCAAGTGGAATATATATGACAGATTGTACATGATGACGTCGCCGGCGTTATGAGTGGCACATGTTGTCAATGTTGTAAAGTTGTACGTTAATATGTTGGTGATAGTGCCATCTGAAGTGACAAATATTATCAATCGTCAACTGAAACGTGGCATCACGTAGTGCTTTGGGAGTGACATTCTTTGTCAAAGTTGCGTCAGAATCACGGACATACGTGGTTGCACGTTGGCAAGGGTCAGGGCGGAAATAACTTTAAAATTGCTAGTGTACTCCGGTACAGTGACACATGTAAAATCACTTGCCCTGATAATTTTTCCACTATACTGGCCGATTTTCTTGTTGATATTTTAGATATACAACATAATTAACATTGGAAAGTCAACTAGACACCGGTACAGTGTGATATACAAATTTGCTTGCCCGACAGAAAAAAACACTGGACTGGGGCGTCGGGCAATGGGTTATTTCCACCCCTGTTAGCAAGGGTCATTCCTTGTCAGGTTGCTTATGAAATATATATGACTCGGTATAAAGTGGCAAAGTTGCGACAAGTACTTACACGTGGTTTATTTGGTTGTATATGCGTACAGTGTATCGAGTAACAACGTCAAGTGGTATTCACATCCAGTATCATAATCCTTAAACAACAAATGCTTTTTCTAGTGAAAAACATATAAAGTGACATGATACGATATGATATCGATCGCAAGTGGAGTAAATCGTCAGTTTGCATATTGTATGTATCTAGAGGCATGCGATGTCAAACGGTACTCAGCGACTTTTGGAATTAGTAGTTTGGCGTTGCGTTTGAAATGACCCACGTAACAGAGATTGGGAAGTGATGGACACAGACTGTTATCAAACTAAACGATATAATACGCAACACGTGCATACCTTATTCTTCAACGGTGATCCAGGGCCCTTATTCTCGTAACGCTCGTTGCCCTAAGAATTCTTAACTTTGATCGTAACCAAGAATGGGCTTAAGAAGTTCGTAGGGCTACGAATGTTTCGAGAATAACTGGCCTAGGTCCCGATCCACAAAACGTTCGTAGCGCTTCTACATTCGTAAGCCTATGGCAAACTATAGAGTTACGACAGGTCGTCACGTTACGAACGCTTTGTGGATCGGGGATCCACAAAGCGTTCGTAAGGTTACGACCTGTCGCAACTCTATAGTTTATCATAGGCTTACGAATGTCGTAGCGCTACGAACGCTTTGTGGATCGGGACCCGGCAGAATCCAGGTTGGCCCTGATTATGATTCTAGGTTTGTCAACACCATACCATTGCTCGCGAGTTTCACCACAGTGGTAAACATACCTTCATCAGGTCGAGCTCTCCTTCCAAAACAAGCTGACATGCTATGATACCGCTTTGAATTCCTTTATTCGCTCAGAGCAGTATGAATATAAATTACATATAAAATGGTTATGTAATGCTATCGTATAACATTAGTCACAATTGTATAATGTTCTGTCAAAAAAACCCCGATATATCAGATATTTGAATTTCATGTTCCACCAAATACTGAAGTTATACTCAACGTGGTGTTGTAGAAAGACGTGTTCAGTACATTTATGTAGTTTTGCACAAGGTGAGCTTCAGTACCTACTGTATTTTCTTCTATACTGCTAGAGACTGAGATGAATCATTGGTCCATTCTGTGTTTGTTGTCAAGCAACGCATGTTTGGGAAAATGCTCAGGGTTACCTTACGACAAGGGCAAGTAAAATTTCCTGTATTCAAGTACAACTTTCCGATTCACCCTTGTCGTTATAATTACAAAGGCATTACATGTTTACCTGGGTTAGTAAAGCTTTTGAGACCTTTGTAACATACAGCAGTATTCAGTGTTGAATAACCTTTCTATCATCACATAATAGTCTGAAATATACGTGTAGCGCTCGGGGTATTCACTTATTAACATATATACTGGAACCACAGCTGCTTCTGATGGTTTTAGCTGTCAGGCTTTTAGTCCATGCTTCTTCACAGTATGTTAACCATTTTTCTGCTACAGTATGCTAACAACGAATCATCCAGTTCATTTACTATTGAAAATGACCAAAGCTCTCTTTATGCATGAAATATACGTTAATAATAACCAGTTCTATTACAAAATGGCACGTATGCATGCATGTCAAGAGATCACATAAACCAGACGATCATTTTGGTTTTGCAGTACCGAAGTTGGTGCGATGACGTCGACAAGGGGAAGGCGTCGCCGGAGGTGCGGGAGAAGATTCTCACCGACGAAGACGTCAATATAAAGAAAGAACCGGAAGAACCGGAAGTGACCGATACAGGTCAAGTCGAATAACATTTGGCATTTGTCCAGGTTGTTCGATCGGGATCGGGACTGTACAGTTTGTGGAGTGTGATATCACAATTTGTTGTTGAGGGAGGTTAAACTGTTGGAAACGGTTAAACTGTTGGAGGATTTGACCTTGGGACAATATATCATTATTATATATTTGGTGCCTCGAAATTGACTTTTAACCCTGAATTTTCGTCTAGTATTATGTGTATATAATGTATTCAGGTATTGTGCACAGGAGAAGGTTACTTGGCTCGTCTGGGTGTTGTTACCTAGCAAAAAGGACGTGAATGCAGACATTCAGGCATGCATGCCTGCCCGCACGCACACACATACATACAGTGCAGAAAATGTATGCCCGCACGCACACACATACATACAGTGCAGAAAATGTATGCCCGCACGCACACACATACATACAGTGCAGAAAATGTATGCCCGCACGCACACACATACATACAGTGCAGAAAATGTGAGTCCAAGCTTGCAGATGAACCGTTATGTAATAAATCCCAGTAGATCAAACCCTTCTTTTGCGCACAATACCTGGAAAGAAACCTTTGACATATATTTTACTAACATATATTACTGTTCATATAGTTACATTTGTTTAATAATTCCATATGTTGTTATTTTGGCATGGAACCATACACACCTATTTTTCGGATTTTCAACAATTGTAGTTTGAAGCAATACTTAGTTTATGCAACGTGTTTGAATGTTTCGCATGCAGGCTCATGCAAGACTACACGGCACTTTTTAATATTAAACAACCGCAAATTCAACAAAATAGAGACAGTTAATTTTGAATTTGCTGTTCGTTCATGTCAGTCTGCCCGGCATGATGGCGGCTGACATGAAGATCCTTTCAGTGTAAAATTCCAATGTGCCGAAGAGCTTTCTGTAGATATGACAACAAATGGATTTTTACAAAGCATTCCAGTCCAGATGTGTTAAGTATGGTTCCTCATGTCTTTGTTCTTGTGGCGGTGATGCGGGTAGCAGGTGCTTTGGCAGTGCCTGATGTGCATGGATGGAGAGTTTCCGTTGAGGGAAACGTGTAAATATATTGTGTATATAGATCTGGCGACTGCGCATCACCAAGGGCGTGTACTGAGTGAATAGCAGCTGCATATGTAACCTTCAAAACAGATCCATATCCAGAAACCGGGGCATTTCTGCTAATACGTCTAGAGAGGTGCCCACGATTTTTCGAATTTTGTAATAATGGAGAAAATAGGTTGTCATGTCATTTCTGACAGCAGGTAAAATGGCTTCTATTGTATTTTTGTGTGATATAATATGTATTTCATAGTCTGTAATGTTAGTGCATGTCTATTGCAGTCTCATAATCTGGGTAGTTGTTCCATACTTTGAACCTTATTGCATGATGATTCTTTTTTTACATTGTATTTGTTTCATGCCTTGTGTGTGATAGTCCACAGGCGGATCCAGAAGGGGGTGGTGCAGGGGTGCGCACCCCCCTTTTGTGCTAAAAGTTTGTTAAATGACCATTGAAACTGGGGTGAAAATGAAGTGTGCACCCCTCCTTTTCTCAATAGTGTGCAACACCCACCCCCAACCCCCTTCTCAAAAAGCTGTATCCGCCCCTGTAGTCTGTTTTTAGGACACAGATAAATCTTATGTGTTAGTTATCTGTTCTTGAGAATTGGTGATATCTTAAATACAGACGGTTGGAAATCTTACTGTAGTTAGAAAATAACGAACGAGCTGGGTAACGGACTATATGCCCCGAGTGAATCAATTGTGAATTGCATGCATAGATGTTTCTTAATTCAAAGCTGGGCAGTTCCATATTATAAGATATACCCATTTCGTTTGGGGACAGAAAATGTTAGAAATGGCAAATATACAAGAAACTCGCTGAAACTAACCTGCTGATTTGCTTTGTGGTACAATGTTTTGAAGATGCCATATCTTATTTTATTCAGCATGACGCTGTATTGCGTCATATCGCTTCATCTGACCCAAATAAACGTAGCATAATTAATTTATATGTGGCATTGCACTTTCTGGTGTAGATTCTGATATATTTTATTGGGTTGAATCCCATGCGGGATTCGACCCCACACTCTGTATTCGTGACCACGAGAAGTGTTAAACATGCAAATTGCTAAATATGGCAAAGATTTTACTCTTTATAAGCGTCGTCTGTTTTAATACTGAATCAAGCAGACATAGCTGGGATTTTATTAGAAAAAGGTAATTGTTATGAAACTGTTTGTGTCAACTGATCGCACGTATATGCATGCACAGAAAACCCATCAGCACTGACCACTGTCCCATAGCATGGTAGACAATCAGGAGGTGTCCAGCTTGCTTTAGTTCTGTGAAGTATTATGCCAAGTTTGTCCTGTTTTTCTGTGTATGAAGTGCGGTTTAATTTCTTCACATGGTTTAAGCAATAATATGATATAATTGCTGTCGTCATAAGTACCATTATGCAAGTAAGCAGATCCAACGTGCAAGAAATCCAGTCGTCTTGTATATATGGCAGTCAGTAGCACTACCGTGCCATTTTGGGGCGGTTCGAAACGAAATATTTCTAGGAAAGTAATAACTAATAAATGTTTTGACACCCGCAACAAAATTGTTTGTACAGTATACATGTTATACAAAGGTAGGGTGGCTTCTTCCTGTCTTTTTGTAGGAATTCGTTTTCAAGAAAATACCAAACCTACACATTACGGTTTTGTCCATGTGTGTATGTTCGGGAGAAGGTTAGAAAGATGCCTGTTGTAAATCCGTGATAAAACCTGTTTATATATTCATAACAATTTCAGAAAATGATAGGGAGACTTGAAACGTTCAAGGTTGCATACTTTCAAAGGTTAAATAAACCTGATATGTTCAGTTACTCTTTCAGTTTCGTTTATATTTTTGCAAGACCTTATCACAAAAGCAATAGGAAGCCATCTCAGGTTTGTCAAATTTGTTTTGAATCATGTATCATATCCAGGTGTTATTTTGTTGTGTTTAACTGTTGTTTTATTAATTCTGTTATTCCGTTTCCAATGGCTAATTTTGAACTCAGTGTTGAATTTACAGTTCAAGATTATTGTATGTAATTTAGTCGGAGTCTTCCCTCAACTCCAACGCAAAATATACTATGACATTTATCTTGTTTAATATTGTGTTTTGCTATAACGGCGGAACATTTAATAATAGTTTTAGCTTCAAATGTAGCAATTTTTGTGTTTCCCTCTGTGTGGGACGTTTTCTTTCAACTGTAATGGATACGTCTCCGGGGTTATAAATTGTTTAATAAATTCCTTCACTGTTTGTTTGTTTTGTTCATTATTCCTGCGGAATACGTGTAACATCATATTTTAGGCAACGGAATAGCAGCATTAGAAATCATCCAGTACGGATACAAGCACGAACCATGGCTAATGTGTCTACTACCTCACTTCTAGTTACATGGTGGTTTAGATGCGTCAGCATACTTCCTGATAATCGCAATGCAATACAGTTGAACAGACCCAGGGCATCTCCAAACGATAATACCCAGAAAGATGGCCTTACCGTTTCTATGGCTATAAGGGACCGTTCACAATTTATGGCTTGGTGTGTGGGGGTGTGGGTGGGTGTGAGTGGTTATGATTTTAGGGTTGGGTGGGGTGTTTCGCCCATTTTGTTCTGGTGAGGTAGGGGGTCAGCAATTTTGTACACATGTTCTAGGGGAGTGGGTTCAGCAATATTGTGCACAACATTTTTCAAAAAATATGCTTATAAAATATGGGGAGGGGCGTCATACAGGGGGGGCACTTACTCTGTAAGTAAATTTTAATGGGGTGTGTGTGTGTGGGGGGTTGTCACTCACATTGTACAGGCTTCTCCATAAAAACCATCACCACCTCCCCTAGCCATAACTAATGAACGGTCCCTAATGACTACCATAACTCACAATGACTTTGACTGAAGTTGTTATATGGGGCATGTAACACTTGTTTCCTGTTTATAAATCTTATGTTTATTAATAATTTCAATGCCAATTATAAGAAATGTTAAATCTGAAATGTGTGTTTAATTTTATTCTATGGGTCCTTTAAATTTTCAATGGGTCAGACAGACATCTGAAACTTACAGGACCCAACGTCCTGTTACTTTGAAACACCATTCGTGAACACTGCATTCCGAATGCATTCCAACTATTCGGGTCAATTCTTGTAACATGCTTTGAACATGTTCAAAACTTTCGAGGTACATTCGAAATGGAAAAATATCGAACGGCATATGAAGTGCATTTTAACTGCACTCTAAATATTCTTGCTGCATTCTAACTGCATTATATGTATTCTGAACGTATTCGTGGGAGAAAGGAAAAGGCAAGCCACTTCAAATCCTGTCAGAATGTCCAGAATGCACCTCGAATATATCTCGTATGCTGCTGGAATTCAGGTGGAATATTCTTCAAATGTATCGGAATATTTCGATTGCAGTTTGAATACAGCTCGAATGTACCTCGACTACACCTCAATTCAGTCAGAACTTACCGAATGCTCTTCAAATGAGCCCTGACGTCATCAGAACACCGCCGGATCGCATAAAAACGTGGCCACCTGTTACTGAAACATCAGATAGCATCTGGGAGTTGCATTCTTACCCAGCTTGAAGAAATTGTATATTTTGACATTCTCTCCCGAATGCGGTTCGAGTTTTGAAAATATATTTTTCTGGCCGATTCTCCATGATTCTTGTCTATTCCAAATAGGTGTGACGGAGCCTTTAGGACTTCAGCACAGCAGAAAGGGCTGATGGGGAGGAAAATAATGCAGTTCACGGATTTTGAGACGGGTATATGACACGAACTGACCTTTCATATTTGCCCCCAACGGATGACCCTGGTGGCTTCATCCTGCCGCGAAACCTACCCATTATATGATAAAGACTAATATTGACGTATTGTACTAGGATTTAAAACTCGGAATGA